ATATATGTGTATATATATATATATCTTTACATGTATTTTAACGTAGGTGATCTCCTCTGGCAGTGCTTTCCTGAATCTGGACCCCCTCAGAGTGGCCCGCAATCCATCTGCGAAGTAGCTCTGTGAGGAGCGTTTCGTTGAGGGCGGGTGGCTTTGTATTTTATCCTTACAATTATCCCTCCCTCCCAAAACGCCCCAAGCTTGCCTTTACCTGTGTACAAGGAAACAAAAGCAATGCATGCATGCTCATAGCATGCCCTAGATTTTATTGGTTATTGAATTAAAATAGCTTAAATAATGCCGCACACACTTGTGTGCGGGACCCTTTCCACCACCACCTATGTTCAGAAAGTTCGGTTTGCCTTTATACTTCGACAGTTTAGGAAGCACTGACTCACAATGCTGTTTAAGATGAACACCAACAGTAAAGCTTCTCTCCTTTCCCTTTGCCAGATTGAGGCTATAAAATAAATCTTATTTAGCTTTTGTTTTCTCGGTAGTCTGTAGAAAGTAGGGCCGTGTGGTATTTGTTAAAGGATGGGAATGTTAGACATCCTCTTCTGCAATTTAGACACAGGTTTTGGTATATGATCTCAGCAGTTTAATAAGTCTTCTGCTATGCACCAATTTCTGTCTGGTTTCTAAAGCAAACTTCTAGGGGAGAAGTCTGCCTCTAATTTTAAAAAAAAAAAAAAAAAAAAGCTATATATATCCTTCCACTACTGGCAGTACAATGACACCTTTTCATTACTGAAACGGCATATTCTTCACCTGCCCCCGACCAGACAAATCAACATACCAGAGCCACAGTAATGCAAGTAAGAGGAAGAGCCAGAAATTCAAGGGAGTCTGCAGAGAGCTTGCAACGACTTGCTAATGTTGCCTTTCCTGTAAAACATCAACGAAGGGTTAATAGTGGGAGACAGCAAAATGCTCAAGTATCCGTAGGCTATGTCTGAAGTGTACTTTCGTGGAACATACTAAAAAAAAAAGACAATGTTTTGCATGTTTATGCTCTTGCAGACGATTTAAATTAAAATCTCACTAATTTTCTCTTGTAGTTAAGCTGCCTCTCTAAAAGGAGTTCTAGTGACACTCTAAGTTTTTGCTGCTGACTAACTTCTGTAAGTTCTCTGTTTTCTTGTTAAGCACCTTTCCTGCATGACTAGTATATCGAGCTGTTAAAATTCTGTCTCTGTCAGTAGAGTGAAAGTAGTCCTGGTGTACCACCTGGTTAAACTGGAAAAGGGGCTTGTCTGCCTATTTTAGACTCGAATGTTTTGCATGCATTTTTTTCTCTTTTCTAGACTATCTATCTGTTGTGTACTTGTTTGTGTTTTGTTTTAGATTTTTTTTTTTCTTCTCCTAATGGCTTTTTTGGAAGAGATGTGGCTAATTCTTCTAAGCATGTTATAAGGTGTATTGTAATCACGACCAAGCTGGTTCTTGATTTGCAATTTACCAAATATGCATGCCCTTGAATGCAGATTTTTAAGTAGAAATGCCTTTCTAGTATGATCAGTTTCAAAGTGGAAATAGGTGATCAGGGAAGTGAAGGTGGGGATCCAGGTTGCTCAGTGTTGTCATAAACACACCATGTAGATATTGTTTTAGTTCTTTCCACTTCTTAAGGAACCTTGTCATGCAAGGCATAAGTTTTAAAGACTTAAAAGTCTATGTCTTTCATTTAAGAAATGCCAAGTTGCCAAACAGTGGTGTGTTTTTAATTATGTATCTATGCTGTGAGCATCTTCCATCTGCTCCACGTGCCTTTTACGGAACTTGCTGTCTAAAGACTAAGTGTTTTATTCTGTTCTTTTCCAGTCACAAGCATAACAATGGTCAACCTATGTGGTTTACACTTGGCATAAGGGAAGCTATCAAAGGCTGGGACAAAGGTTTGAAGGACATGTGTGTGGGAGAGAAGCGGAAGCTAACTATTCCACCAGCCCTTGCTTATGGAAAAGAAGGGAAAGGTAAAACACCTGAAGTCCTTCCCTTACTTTAATTGTTTTTAATATCTGTATTTTATTCTTCTTCTTGGTCCAAGAGGTTAGCAGGCTTTCAAGCTTTCCAGGCTGATTCCATTAAATAAGAAAAATTGATGGAGTCAGGTGCTCTTTCTCACAAATTTTTTTCTGCAGAAATAACCATTAAGTGGTTATGTGGTGAATGCGGGGCGGAAAAATAGGAATTGATGGTAGCTGCTGTGTTGTATGCTCCGAGTGTCTTTTCTGTTGGTGCGGTGCTCAACAGTGCTCTGCTTCCACACACCCCCCCTTTTTTTTTTTTTTTTTTTTTTCTTTTTATAGTCAAGCTGGAAGTGGTTGCTTAGGTAACAGTTGGCTTTTTGGCTGTGGCATCTGTGTTTGTGGTAATACTTCATGAATGTGCATGTACAAGCCTCGTTCTTGTTTGCAGGTTTCTTTGAGAACCTGAAGAATCTCCCTGTACTGCTCCCCAACCAGTTCGTAGCTGATGCAGTGAAAAGTCACCGTTTATTTCTCCATATAGGGACATTTAATTCTTTCTCTCTTTTAACTATTTTCAGTTTGGGCAGTGGTCTTTGTTATTCACAGTAAGATACACAGGTAAATGGGCAGTCATGCTGGCATCTACTGAAGATGTATTGAATGATGTACAGACAGATAAAAGCATTGTTTGTAGTGTTTTCTCAACCTGTCTATTACTGATGGTGTTTGGGTGTTTTCCTTTCAAACATTTCCAGAATCCTATTTTAATGGGAGGGCCAGATCTGCGATTTGCAGTTAAATGAGTAACAGCTTGAAAGAGGCAGGAAGGTTAGTTTTTCTGCTTCATGGGGTTTGTTTTAGTTAACTTTTTTGAGCAATTATTAGAATATTTTGTCATGACAACAGTTATCACAAATGACCTAAGGTAATGCAAGGTTTTAAAGCAGGAAGGATAAATGTCTTGGAACATATAATCCTTCCTGCTACTGTCCTTTCCCATTAATCTGAGACTGCTTTAGGAATGAGGAGTGTTTGCATGTCTATCTTGTGGCAAGTAGGGCTGAACATAAGCTAAGTAGTACTCCATATTACTCCATGCTAAGTAGTACTTCATACATACAAGTGTACTCTGTATCCTCCTTTCTTGAAAGTATCCTTTTAAAACATCTTTTAAAGCTGTGGTTTGGGGTTCAAGAGATAGTATTAGAAGTAATCATGTTTGCAGTGGTCAGTCAACTATATGCAGCGCACAACTGTAAATTTTTCAACAAAAAGATAAATGTTGAAGTGCTTGCTTAGTCATCACAGGCCTAATTGCCTTGATTAATATGTAAAGCACTACAGTTGTTCTTCAAAGACTTGCAAGCCTCACCTCTGTGTTTAGTGCAAGGCTGAACAAGTAAACACTGCTAGCTGCTGCAAGAAATTACTTGCTTTAGAAAAACTTTGAAGTATTTGAACATAATTATGTTGCTATTTTCAAATGATGCCCTTGAAGACAGAATTATTCCGTATTCTTCATGCTTTCCTCTGAATGCATATAACTTCACTCTCCTCCCACCTGGTGCTTTGCTTGCTGTCTGACTTGAATGATGAGTCAGATGCCTTTTTCTGTAATGCTCAGAAAAATTACCTGTGTTCCAAACTCTAAGCAGGCCACTGTGTGCTGTATTTCCAAAAGTTTCTGCACACTTATTCATCCCAGAAATCTACAAGCCCATTTCTTATTGCAGCTCAGGGTGTACTTAACACTGTAGGTCTGATGTGTGTAGGTGTGGATTAGTTTTTTCCCTGTCTTCTTAAGCCACAGGAATATTTTTTGGGGTGCTACCATCCAATGTAGAAATATATTTGGTCCTATTCAACTTCTCTCTATATAAGGAGCAAAGCGGTGTGCTAAAAGGTCTTTGACAGTAGTAGCTTCAGCCATCAGCTTGAAGGTATAGCATACCATTTTAAAAGCCAATGCCTGATAAACTGAAATCCTGGGGTGGGGAAGTGTATGGTCCTTGGCACTATTAGGAAATTATCAGTCTGTTCACCTGCATCAAAAATGGAATGATGCCAACATGTCTCTTGAGCAGGTTTATATACTTAGTTTCTGCTGTGTGTTTGGGAATGGCTCAGTGCTTTGTGTGGCAGTCCAGAGGCAGCTGTGGGATACTGACAGCATTGCTGCCCTTCTGTCTTTCTCTGCCAGAAGAGTTTTTCCAGTGGCAGAATAGCAGTTACAAGGTGTCAGTTGGCAGTGGAGAGGAATTTGGAGACTGGTGGGGTTATGGTGTATCAGGAGGACTGAATTCAACCTTCTTGCTACCCTGTCTATCAGTCTTGGCTGTATGTTGCAGTAGTGGCCACCTGGCTGGCTGTACAGTCTCTTCACTGTTTTCCACTCGTGGTCTATCTGTCTCTGGCCATGAAAAGAAGATTCAAGAATGTTGTCTCCTAAACCTGTGATGATGATTGCTGAATATGAGCTCACATCAACACATACTAGTCTCTAACAAAACTAGTCGCATCTAAAGTTGCGTATGTGCTGTAAGGGCTGCTCAGGGTCCAGGCTACACTCTGAAATAGTTACATTTATCACTGTTGCAGATACTTATCCTTGTTAGTTCAAATTGCAGGATGCTTTGAAAGTAGTAAGGTTACTGGAACATTGCTCTGACACATATGGCTTTTGTGTGGCACTGAATATGTAGTTGTTTTTAACTTTTCTCCATGTTTACCATTTTGGGCAGGAAAAATTCCACCTGAGAGCACACTGATTTTCAACATTGACCTTCTAGAAATTAGGAATGGACCAAGGTCTCATGAGTCATTCCAAGAGATGGATCTTAACGATGACTGGAAACTGTCCAAGCAAGAGGTGAGTGGGTGACACTTCTTGTGAGCAAACCTAACATGATGAGATAGTGCAAAGGGAAAGATAAGCTTAACTTGATCCTGTTAGAGAAGTATCTAAACATAAGTTAGATTTTAGCTACTACTGTGCACAGAGCAACTCTGCAAGCAAAATACACACTATTTAAGAGTGCTTAAAGCAATTGTTTATTGGGCGATGCACAGTATGGGTAACTAGGACTAATGAGTTGTTAGCATAACTACTGAATTGATATGCTCATCATGAATGGTAAGACACCCAAAAAGTTACTGCTGGCCAGGTGGTCATTAGTCATGTGGGGAAGGGTGAGTCTCTGTTCTTCCCTGGAGCTGACTTTCAATGTTGCTGCCTTCCAGTTCTCTGCTTTTTTTGCCTTTGGAGTTTTATGCCTTTTTGGGTTGGTATCTTTCATGCCAAATGCACTTGAACTGCTATTCCTGGCTCAACAATTAAGCTCCTGTCTGTGCTTTGCCTTTCTTGTATGGCTTCAGCTCACACACTTTCTTATACCTTAACAATAGATTTTTTTTTTTTTTTCCAGTAAAACTAAGCTAAATAAGCACATCTATGCTGCACCACACTGAGCCTTAAATCCCAGTGGAACTGCTGGACTGGGGGTTCAAAAGTGGCCTCGGTAAGCTGAGGCATAGGTGCATGACACAGATGTGTGCCCCACAGTTATGGAAGACTTGGATAAGTTAAAACATCTTAGAAATAAAACCAGACTTCAGGGCTTTTTGGGATTAGTTGATGATTTACTAATAAACTGGAATTAGAAATTCTGCTGTAGGGCAGACCTGTTTCATAGCATTCACTGTCTGAAGGATGTGTATTCAGCATTATTCACCTTCTATTTGCCTCTTATTTTCAGTCTTCTGCTTTTCCAATGAGCAAAAGTCATCCATGAGAAGTTAGGATAAACCACTACATTCTTTTTGATTTGGGGCTGGTACAGTTTGCTAGACCCAAAAGACTAATCTTTCGTACTGTGCATCAGACAGCATCAGTGTGTCCACTGTCTGTGTATTAGAAATGTAAGCAATGACCCTAACAAATACCAGAATATGAAATGAATAAAACAGACCTGAAACATGGCCCATTTATCTTGCTGTTAACAGTCCACTGTTACCACTTACATAGCAAGAACTGTATCTGTTTAACAGGTGGCTGTATTGATATTGATATTCTTGTAGAAGGCTCTGCAATTTAGAACCCTTGGGATCTCAATAGTTAAACCTTAAACTCAGTAAAAATAATCTGATGTTGTTCAAAACACCGCTCACCATTAGTAATGAGCTTAGTGTAAATAACTGTTGCAGTAGTCTTTTTAAAAGCTACCTTGAATCTTTGTCCCTTAAAATTTTGAGGTGTCTAGAAATAAATCTTTATTAATATAGTTCCCATAAGAGCAGCAAAGCTGAGATTGTGGACAGATTTCTGTATATATTTGGGGCGGCCGTTTACATCTACTGGTTTGTCAAAGTGCTAGGATGTGAAAAAGCTGTTTGGGTCTCTGACCAATTGGTAGCTAACAACTTCTGCCTACCTATTGATACTTTACTGTATAGACATGAGATGACAGGTTTTCCTGGCTCATTTTTCAGTCAGATACCATAAAGGTACGGCAACTGATTTGCTAGTTTTACTGTTGCTTATCTTACTAAAGAGTCTTTCATCACTGAATGGGGCTGCAGAATCAGTCAGACAAGTATTATTCTGGCAGTGGCATAGGAAGGAAGGTGTCTGTCTAATACTACCGTCCTGAACATAGCGGCCCTCTCTTATGCTACAGTAATCAATTCTTTCATAAGCCTAAACACATTAATTCTCACCTTTTGTCTAATAGGTGAAAATTTACTTGAAGAAAGAATTTGAAAAGCATGGAGCAGTGGTAAATGACACCCAGCATGATGCTTTGGTTGAAGACATATTTGATAAAGAAGATGAAGACAGTGATGGGTTTATATCTGCAAGGGAATTTACGTACAAGCATGATGAGCTGTAGAAAAGGGTGGCATAATTTTTTTGACACAAATGGCGGTGACTTAGACTGTCTGGTTCTCTTGTCTTAATTCTATGTTTTGGAGTTGGCGGCTGCTGTTGGCAAAGAAACATTCTTTGTTTATATAAAAGAATTTCTGTGCATTATGTACAAATGTTTTAAACTATTTTAAAGTATGAAAATGTACCTCCTTCTATGCAGCAAAGAGTTGCACATCAGTGTTTTTTTAATTTTGTATTAACTTATTTTTCAGAAATGAAACAAAATTTCCAGTTATCAAACACTGTGAAAATCAAAATCCAGTTCAGTGCCTTTCTGTGACTTGTTTGTGTGTTAAGATCACTTTCAGTGACTCCTTTATGTATAACTTCTAGTCTGTGGCTTAATTACTTGACCTTCCTTCTTGTGTGTCACTGCTTGAAAAGCAGTGTGCTGACCTTGCTTTTTTTCTGCAGATTTTTGAAAGATGTGTTAGAAGGCATCAGCATCTCTTTATACAGCTGAGAAACTGATACAAAGCTGAATGAGAAGAATGACTATCCTGTGCTGATTTTGCTCTTCTAAAGGGAGTGTTACCAACCATGCCAATAATTGTCTGCATTTTTCTTTAAGTTATGTGAACAAAGTAGGAGTTAAATGCCAGACTCTCGCTTTTAATGTCAGCAACATTCTAGGAAGTGCCTGTAATTTGGAAAATAGAAAGTTATGCTGCAGCACAGAGGTGGTGTCCTTTACACATAAACACATTTGTTTTGAAACTCGGAGCTTGCATTCATGAAGAAAGATCATACCTTTCTCCTCTCAAGTTTTGAGGGAGATATTAAGCAAAATGTTACAAGTCTGAAGTTTCTACTATTTGCAGAAGGGGAAGAGCATGCTGACAGGAGGGTCAGTATGGCCTGAAGAGCAATTTGCATTGTCCTGCCCTGCCTGCTTTGCTACTGCCTGAGTTGCAGCACTTGTTTCATCATTGCCCTGTTGCAGTATTTTCACAAGTAGCACAAAAGTGATGTGAATTTTAAATAATAGTGACGTTAGAAAAATAGAGGCATGAGGTAAATGGTATGGTGCTGTGTTTTTACAGAGGTGGAGGCCATGAGGATTTTAGCTCCACGTTGTGTTTGTTTGAACTGTTTCTGGAGAGGAGGAAATACTTAGCAATTGTCCCTGGGCTCTAAAATGAGAGGGCAAGATATCTCAGGGAAGCAATTAGCCTGTATTCTGGCACCACTAACATATGGGTCTCTGAACATAGTATTTTACTTGAAAAAAATGTTGCTCAAGGCTATGTAGGGACACAAAGCAAATCCAATTGTATGAAACTGAGATTGCTGCATTGCACTAATCCTTAGCCACTGCCAAGTGCGACTCGACATCCAAGGTTCTCAATGCTGTAGATGAGCTAGTTGTTTTACCCGCCACCTAGTGTTGCAAGTAAGTCTTAGACTACTCTGTTAAATGGAGTTCAGCTGCATATGGATGTAGCAGATTGCTGTCAACAGTGACTGTTTTAGGGGGAAAAAGTGTAAGTGAAGGTATGCGGTGGTGGGGGTTTTCTGTTGGCTGGTTTTTTTTCTTCCAGCATCTGGCATTTTGTGGCTGATGGCCTACAGAATTAAGACCACATATCTTGGTTTCAGGAGCCTTTAGGTCTTTTTCCTCAATGATGCCATCTAGTTTTCTTGAACCCATTTATACTTTTGTTCCCATAATGTTCTATGGCAGTGAGTTTCACCATACTTGTTGCCTGTCCTGATTCTTGCACTGTGAGGAAATAACGAATAATCATTCCCTATTTAGCTCTTACTGGTCATGATTTTGCATATCAGTTTTTTTTTTTTTTTTTTTTTTTACTCATCACTTGAGAAAATTCAACTTGCCTGACCTTAGCTCCCAAGGTTGTCTGTGTTCTGTGCTCGGTGCCTTGATTTCTCCTACAGCCACTGGGGCACTAGGCACTTGGGGGCAACTTATCGCATGTATATTTTTCATGCTGTATCAGGATAGGTGCCTTATCAAATAGAGATACCTGTCTTTTTCCATTGACTACATGGGGAGCCTAGGCAATTACCATAGCCTAGGCTGAGGAGGGCTAATAGGATATGAGGTTGGCCTGTAAGGCAATCTTGCCTCCTTTGTAATAAATACAAGTTGGGAGTCAGGCAATGCTGTGAAATGTACCTATGCATTATCTTCTACTTAGTGGTTTGTTTGTTTTGTTTTGTTTTTTAAAGCATTTCATAAAGACAACTTTCAGTGAACATGAATTGTAGTTAATTTGTTAATGCCAGCAGAGCATTAAAGCTGCAGGACCAAGAAGCTTTATTTGGTGCGTTGTGTGTAGGTTTATGCCAGATGAGTGGATGATTTTTGTTCTTGGTGCTTTTCTTGGTAGCTGTGTTATGTTTCTGAAATGGAAGTAAAAAAACATTTCAAAAGTGCAGAATCAGCAGCAGATTTGAGAAGCCACTTCAACTTTATTACTGTTTGCTATCATTGAAGTCCTTCTGTGAAGACGAAGGGATTTCTGTGGTAGAAATAGCACTGCTTGTCTTAACCTCAATTGCACCTGCTTGTTAATCCACAGGGCAATACTGCTGCAGTGCCAGCAGGAGCCGGCCAGCTACCTGAAGGAGAGCAGAGGCAGGCAGCTGCCTGCCCTCTGAGGGGAGAAGGAATATTGGAACTTCAGTGGCATTCAGCAACATTTTGGCTGGCTTGCATGTGAAGTGCAAGGTGTATTTCCCCTGAAGAAACAAACCCTCACTGCCTGTCTGTAAAATGCAGCACTTGAAAAAGTGGGGAGGGCTCAAAACAGTGCTGTAAGCACATACCAGATTGTTCCTTCTGCAGTTTATAGCCTTCTTCACACGTTTCTTGTTGTTTTGTGGTTATATAGGAAAATATGTACTGATGGTTTTCAGAACGGCTGCTTGTCATTCAAAGCCACTACCCAGCAATTACAGTGGGAGTTGCTGCCTTCTCTAGGTATAGAAGCAGTCTTCAGAGCTTACTTTATTTGAAAATTCTTGATATGCAATGCAGTGACACAAGAAAGCTTTTGGCAAAGCTTCAGAAATGGTGCTTATAGTCTGAAATGTTTTTTAAAGCTTTCTCCTTTGAGATCAACTGAGAAGGCAATGTTGAAAATGAAGCAATCACTGTATTGGGTCTTAAATCTTTGCTTTTCGGTACCTTATGTTCTTGTGCTGCCAGCAACATCCCCAGTATAGAGGTGTTTTGGTGAGTACTATATGTGACAGAGTCATAAAATTGCAGTGCTAAGTACATGTTGAACACATTGCTACCATAGTTTCTTCTTCATGACATTTAGAACGAAAATGATGGATAGCCTGTTTCCTGAGTACTTCAGTGTAAAAATAGGTGGTACAGGTCAGCCTTTCAATTACAGTTGTCTTTGTTGCATGTGCTCCCACACCCCATCATTTCTGCTATTAGATACAATGTGGTCTGTCCCTTGATCCAGAAATCCCAGTTTCAGATGGCAGGTGAGCATCAGCACATAGGGAGAGCTCGCTGCTTTGGGGCATTCCGGGGGAAAGGAGCAAGACTAGGGGAAATATGCAGAGCAATGTGAGAAATGCAAAAGACTTTGTTTCCTAGATCCTTTGGCATTTGCTTACTTGGTAGAAAGGACATTGGCAACCACTGATGTAGGTACTGCAAATTATAAGGCTGGTTCCTGATCTGGCTTTGACTAGAAATCACTGCTTCAGCCAGTTTCCATATGGATTTTTTTACTCTTAGAACAAAGTTCAAATGCACAATTCCAAGGTCCATTAAGGAATATTCAGAATAGGTATGTTGCATTTGTTGCATATGTTGCATTTAAGAAGCATGACTGCTTCTTAAAAATACATCAGTCTCATTATAGAGCTTTTGCAAAAAAAAATCCCACAAAAACCCCCCAAACCCACCACCTCAAAACCTTTCATATATCTTCAACACTGAATTGGTTTTGGTAACAGGAAATAAACCAAACAAAACCTGCTTATATTTGTATAATCCTGGATAATTTTAGCCTCTCTTGAAAGTTAATCATAATGCTTACATTCTGTGGCCTAGTTTTCTCCTGGTACATAGGAAAAACAACTCTCTGAGAAAATAATGATCTTTCTTTAGCTATCCTGCTTCTGGTTTCATGCTTGTGCTTGATTATGTCAACAGTTTCACACAAGAAATGTAATTGAAAAAGCTCAGGAGGAAGCTATGTATCTGTTACAGGGACAAGGACCTTCATTATCATCTCTCCCAGCCTGGAGGGGATTCAGATGGAGCCTCCTCCTGCATCACATTTCTTCCTTCTAGGAGGTTCTGTTCCAAAAGCAGGCTGGTTGAGCTAGGGGTTGCACCGGGTTAGGAGCTGTGTGGTATTTCTGTTCTCTTGAATGATGTAAAAGAAGTAGGAGCTTGGTTTAGCTGAGAAATTTGCCATGAAGATAGAGGATAGTTTGAAACATGTCAGGTAAGTAATTTTGTGCAAGGTTTCTGAAGGCCATATTCCTGGAGTTTGTCCACAGGGATAGTATTTTTTTCTCTCTTTTTTTTTTTTTTCTCATAACTGCTCTGCATCTCCATTAGGTAAACAATAACAAAGCCACTTTAAAAATACTAGGATCTGACCCCAGAAATCTAGCGGAGCCAACTCTTCAGAGCTTCCCCAAATCCCAGTTATGTTTTCCTCTAAAAAATCTGAGGCTGATGCTAACTGCCATTAAGAGCTGCTCTTCATATTAGATACAATGCTTCTAATTTCTAGTTTGTGTCATGACCTGCTTAAGGAGATTAAATGGTGCAGGATAATTGATTTCTCATCTGGGAGTCAGACTGAAAGCATTAAATCAATTTCTCTAGTTTCTTTAAAGCAGCTGATGTTTCCTCTTCTGCCTATTGCGTGCTTGGCCTGCTGTTTCTCTGGGAGTAAATAGCTTAGCTCTGGTCTCTCTAATCTGCTGGGATATGTCTTTAGAGAACAGGTTTTCATTCCATAAATACAATGCAAAATGTTCTTGGTGACCCTGTGTCCATCTCTGGGTATGGAATCTATATGGCTATAGCTAATGGACTAATCATAGCTTAAAGAAAATTATGTCCTGCTGGATATTACTCCTAGCAATGCTGACCACAACACTTAGGTAAGACTGGCGATGATCCTTCCTTTTAACAGAAGGTAAGAATTCATATTTGCATCCAGTATTTCAGCCCTTGTGTGCTGTCATGTCCTCATTGCTATTGTAATT